GTGGTTACTAGGGTGTTGCTAGGAGTCATTAGAGTGTTCTGGTTGGATTCTTGTTGTTAGGGGTTCGGGGTGGTTACTAGGTAGTTCTTAGGGGGTTCGGGGTGGTTACTAGGGTGTAGCTAGGAGTCAGATGATTCTGGGTGGATTCTTGTTGTTAGGGGTTCGGTGTGGTTACTAGGGTGTTGCTAGGAGTCATTAGAGTGTTCTGGTTGGATTCTTGTTGTTAGGGGTTCGGGGTGGTTACTAGGTAGTTCTTAGGGGGTTCGGGGTGGTTACTAGGGTGTAGCTAGGAGTCAGATGATTCTGGGTGGATTCTTGTTGTTAGGGGTTCGGTGTGGTTACTAGGGTGTTGCTAGGAGTCATTAGAGGGTTCTGGTTGGTTGCTAGGTAGTTCTTAGGGGGTTCAGGGTGGTTACTAGGATGTTGCTAGGAGTCATTAGAGGGTTCTGGGTGGTTGCTAGGTAGTTCTTAGGGGGTTCAGGGTGGTTACTAGGGGGTTGCTAGGAGTCATTAGAGGGTTCTGGGTGGATTCTTGTTGTTAGGGGTTCGGTGTGGTTACTAGGGTGTTGGTGTGGTGTAGGTGTGGCTCGGGTCCCTCCTTCAAAGCAAGCCTGTGAGATTGTTTTTTAACCCATTTCATTGTCCAGCAGGTGTCAGGGTCACTTATAAGTACTAATGCTTAGTGTTTTGAACAAACTCCTAACACTGAGCACTAGTAACAGTGATGCTTGACTTAACAAACACCAGTAATAACACGATCATCATTTCCAGCATGAATTGATCATCTGTAATACCTGCCGTCCCACCCAGTCTAACAGACACAAAATATCTACTCATTCCTTATTCTGCTTCATGTGTTCAGAACAAATAGTGATCAGCTGTTAAACACGTCACGTTTGCTTTCAACGCATGCAGGAACCAGTGATGTAAAACTGGCACCATGTCATTTTATGGACTGACGTAATAAAACACAAACATTCTGACATGATCATCTAACATGTTTCATGGAAGAAAGAAATTAATATGGTTTGGAGTGACATGTTGAAATAAAAAAATCATAATGATGACAAAAAGCTGAAATTATGACTTAAAAAAAAACGAAATTACCAATAAACGAAAAAAAATAAAATAAAAATTACTAGATAAAATGTCAAAAAAGTTATAATTATGGGGAAAAAGTTAAAATGTTGGAATTATGGCATAAAATATCATAATTATTAAGTAGTCTAAATCATGAATTGAATTGATGTTATAAAACAAACTTTTTTTGTCGAAAAGTCAAAATTATGACAAAGTTAAAATTATGAGATTAAAAAAAGCCTAAATTAGGAGATAAAAGTCAACGTTATAACAAAATACCAATTATGAGAGTAAAAAGTCAATTACAAGATAAAAAAAAATGTAATTATGGCAAATCGAAATTATGGCATAAAAAGTCAAAATTATGACAAAAACATCATTATGAGAAAAAAGTTGAAATAATGAGTCAAAATTGACAAAAAGTCAGAATCATGAAATAAAGAGTCTAAATGATGAATATCATACAGGTTTGCGACATGTCAAAATAAAAGTTTAAAATATGAGGTATTGAAATAAAAAAATATTATGACAAAATGTCATTTATGAGATAAAAAATATGACATTTAAAAAGTTATCATTTTCAGAAAAAGTAGAAATTTCAAATGACATAAAATGCCATAATTATTAAATATAATGTCTTACTTATGAAACGATGCTTTTAGAGATTTACATTATAAAACAAACATTCTGACTAATATCAGCTAACATGTTTCATGGAAGAAAGGACATAAGAGTAATTTAGATTAGATTAAACTTTATTGTCATTGCGTTAAATCTAATCTAATCTAATCTAAATTACCCTTATCATTTCCTTTTTTCCATAAAGCATGTTAGATAGTCAGAATATATTGCGAATAGTGTTGGCTCTTTGACAGAAAGCTTTTGTTCCTCTTTTGTAAGTCACTTTAAATCTGGAGTAAATGGAGTGACGTGAGTGAGTAAATGATGACAGGATAATCACAGGTCAGTTTTTCCTTAATTTTATCAGTGAATGTCAGAAGCCACGTCTCCTCTCATGCTTCTTATGTGTCACCAAGTAAATAAACTCCTGTTGAGCGTCTTTTGTTCTGTGGGCAGCACTTTCGCTCTCTTTCATCTCCTGCAGGATCTGTAAGTCAGGTTCAGTCTTGCCTGTCGCCTCCTTGAGGGCTTTTCCCTCACAAACATTCCTGTCACTGCATGTGTCGAGTCTCGCTCCGCTCCATCGAATCCTACGCCGGCGTCCGGTGGGACCGACTGTGACGGGCGTACTGATGCTTCTCTGCAGCAGAGCATTGTGGGTAGACTATTGATAAGTGCCACTGCTGCATTAGTGCTTGTGATAAATACTGAAGCAGAAACCAAGCTGTAGCTATGTGAAGTGTCTGCTTCGTAATATTCGCAGGATCCTCTAAACCTGGAAATATCAGAAACTGACAGAAAACTTCTATAGTGAAAACACATTCTCTAGTTTCCAGTCTACAGCTCTTTCGAAATTGACTTCAAAAGTCACAATTATGGGAAAAAGTCACAAGTATGACATACAAAGTCATTATGAGATAAAATGTAGAAATTATGAGATAAAAAACATTCTGACTAAAATAATCTAACATGTTTCATGGAAGAAATAAAATAACACAGGTTTGGGTTCTGTTTCTGATGTTAAAATTGAGACTTAAAAAAAAAATTTAATTATTAAAAGTCATAATTATGAGAAAAAGTCACAATTATGACATTAAGACATTATGAGATAAAATGGCAAAATTATGAGATAAAAACATTCTGACTAAAAATAATATTGATGAAAGAAAGAAAATAATAAAGGAAAAACATAACTTACAAAAAAACCCATAAAAACGTAAAATTATGAGATTAAAAAAAACAATTATGACAAAACGTCATAATTATGAGAAAAAGTTTAAATAATGACAATGTCATAATTAAATAAAATAAAAAAATAAAAGTCAAAATTATGAATTATCCTTTTGGGGATTTATGTCATAAAACACAGACATTCTGACTAATATCATCTAACATATTTCATCGAAAAAATAAGTCAAAATTACTATGAGATAACATTTCGAAATTATGAGATAAAAAGTCATGTAATTATGACAAAAAGTTTATGTTTTTGCCATAAATTAGTATGTTATAATGATATCTTTTTGTCATAATTGACTTGTCTCAATTATGACTTAACATTTCATAATTTCAAATTTTATCTCATAATTGTGTTTTAATTATTTAATTTAAACAATTTAAAGATTTTTTTTTTGTCAATTATGATTTATCAAAGCATGTTTTATTTTTTTTATGTGGCAGAAATAGGCTTCAATATAAACCTGAAGTGGCTCCAATATAATACTGCCATCTAGTGGACCTTTATCTGAATCTCTTGTTTCTTCTTATCCACTGATATTATAAAAAATAAATAGCGATTTTAACAGTTGATCTGTGTTTGTTGACTTTAGTGAACACATGAAGCAGAATAAGGAACGAGCAGATCTTTGTGTCTGATTGTGTTATTACTGGTGTTTGTTAAGTCAAGCATCACTGTTATTAGTGCTCAGTGTTAGAGGTGTGTTCAAAACACTGAGCATAAATATTAATAAGTGACCCAAATATTTTCACCTGCTGGACAATAAAACAGGTTAAAAAAATCCCACAGACTTGGTTTCAAGGAGGGGAACCGAGCCACATCTACAGACCTGAAGATCAGAGAGACACGGGGGGAAAACATGAAGTGCAATAAACGTTACATTGTGTCAAGGTTTCCCAATGTATATAATTATCTATATGTATTTTCTGAATGTATATAAGCGGTAGGCTATTTTAGAAATGAATTTAAAAGATAAAGAAAAAAATAATTAGGGAGAATACATAAATTATGAATAATGAATTGCAATTGTGTGAATAATACGTAATCATATAATCAACAAAAAGTAACAGTAGTCTAATTCCGAGAATTTTAAAATGTAATCTAATTACAGGTGTTTCATTTTTGGAATATGATTATGTAATCCAAATTACTACCCCGCACTGCTCGCAACTACCTATGAACACCCTAGTAACCACCCAGAACTCCCCAACAGCTCCCTAGTAACCACCCAGAACTCCCCAACAACTCCCTAGTAACCACCCAGAACTCCCCAACAACTCCCTGGTAACCACCTAGAACTCCCCAACAACTCCCTGGTAACCACCCAGAACTCCCCAACAACTCCCTGGTAACCACCCAGAACTCCCCAACAACTCCCTGGTAACCACCCAGAACTCCCCAACAACTCCCTAGCAACCACCCAGAACTCCCCAGCAACTCCCTAGCAACCACCCAGAACTCCCCAACAACTCCCTAGCAACCACCCAGAACACTCGCGTAACCATACAGCCACATAGTGACACGACTGTGAATACCTGCTTTGACTTGTTGACCTGGTGTGGGTGGTTCTGTTGCAGACAGCGGATCTGGTACGGTTGTTGGTGTTGTTTGTGGGATTGCAGTAGCAGCTGTTGGTGCCATAACGGGATACTTCACCTATCAGAAGAAGAAACTGTGCTTCAAGGTCCAGAGAGGTCTGTGGCTCTGCTCATGCTCTAGAAGACATTCAGATGTGAATCAGTAAAACACTGTCATAGTTACAAGTGCTGACACATGATTTATAAATATGAAATCTAAAACACTTACAGTCTAAAACACAACAGGCGAATTGTGTTGTTTCTGCACCATCAAATGTGTTTTTCTACTTGGTCTCAACATAACATTTGCTCAACCAATGATGTGGAGTTTGGAGCAGGTGTAATTGTTAAGGAAACCTGTTTGAAAACAGTCATACTGTATGTTCATGCATCATGCACTCTGAATGAAATTCAGTTGAAATGTGAAATGTGTTTACCTGCTAAAACCAACATATAAAAAGTGACATTCATGGCATAAAAGCCGGTCTTTATGTAAACTTTGCAGGTCCCTTACAGTTTCAAAAGTACACATTCACACACAAACACATCCATACATTATCTTTGTAATTTTGTTTGGTGCTGCTAGTGGCTAGTGCAACTTATAAGATCCAAGTGAAAGATATAACACCAACATGTCAGAAAAAAAAAGATTATAAAAAACAAAACAAAAAAAAAACAGATAAAGTCACTAAATAAAACCAAGTAAAAGTCACAGATAAAGCAGCTAGTATGGTAACTGTTGAATGAGAACATATGCTTTCTCTTCAGGTGACCCAGAGAGCGCCAAAGAAGAGAACGGCACGCAGAGCCATGAGGGTGAGCCATTCACTGCTCATTTTCACCTTTAAATCATGGTTTTCACTTATATTTATGTGTTTGTATGGCACTGGATAGGGCCATAAACAGGCGTTTCTCAGCTGGTTGATCTCAGATCTGCTCAGCAGGGAGAAACTGTGATGAAAACAAATAATAAAATACAACTAATTCTGCAGAATTTGGACACCAAAATAGACTTACAAATTCTTAGAAGGGAGAAATTACATTCTATTGTATTCATTCTTAGAAGGGAAACACTGTCCATATATTTTGCTGCTGATGTCAGAACCCTCTAACGCCTACCCATAAACCACCCAGAACACCTTAACAATTACCTAGCAACACCCTAGTAACCACTCAGAACCTCCAACAACTACCTAGCAACCACACAGAACCTCTTAACGATTACCTAGCAACACCCTAGTAACCACTAAGAACCCCCAACAACTACCTAGCAATCACACAGAACCTCTTAACAATTACCTAGCAACACCCTAGTAACCACTCAGAACCTCCAACAACTACCTAGCAACCGCACAGAACCTCTTAACGATTACCTAGCAACACCCTAGTAACCACTAAGAACCCCCAACAACTACCTAGCATCCACCCAGAACCTCATAACGATTACCAAGCAACACCCTAGTAACCACACAGAACCTCCGACAACTACC